AAATAAATGCTCCAAACAATATCAAAACGCAAACTCAAATTGGTCCAGTGCTTTCATGAAAAATCCTAATACTAGTTTTTATTTTATGACATATATACATACCTCTGTTTTAACTAGGCTTCAGCCTCAAACTGTTAAACATTTGGCGTGGTTCGATTCTCCTAAATTTTAACATCGTGATTAATTAATTAATTCAAAATACAAACACACACATATTGCAGCTACCAGCTCCAAAAGTACCGGGACGCGGGCTCGTTTGTTCTGCCGGTCGACCCGAACAATAAGGACACATGGGGCGACAGCGAACACCGCCTCGCTTACATGTCAGAGACAACTGTCATCTTCAAAGACATTGTCCAAGTCCGAGACGACCAGTGGTGGAAGGCTCTCTCCACTGGCTACATCACCCAATGGGCCGCCATGTACCCACAAACCATCGATGCTCTTTTCTACGCGCACTCGGCTGACGAGGTCAAGTCCCTGGCCCCACTCATCAAGAAATTCCGGACGACAGCTGGCAAGAAAGCCTACGTGGTCGTCCCAGGCGGGAAATATTTCCCGTGTGCGGACGCAGCCGCGTTCCTCAAGTGGCCCAAATCGGCGTGCAAGGAGAGGCGGTTCAAGATTTTGGATCTCGGAATCGAGGTTTCAGGGTCGGAGGTGCAGGTCGTGCAAGCGGTGTACGCGAGCATGAGGGGTTTGGTGAGGATTCACAACCCAAGCCTGGTGATTGCGGTCTCGGATTTGGACGCGAGCGTGGCCAAGGCTTTGAGGATGGCGGCCGAGGCTAAGGCAAACGGCTCATCGGCGTTGGTGCTTTTGCCGAGGTCAAGTGTGCCCAAGGCTCTCTGGATGGCCGATCTTCGCTCTACGGCATTGCCGAGTAATAAGAAACAATACATACATACAAATCTTTCTTTTCAAAATATTTTTAAGAAAGAAGGCACAATATTTACTTTGCAGATTGGAACCGGATGCGGCTCACCGTAAGCATCATCACGCAAAATCGCGCCACCTCCCTAACAAGGCTCCTCAAGTCCTTAACCGACGCCTACTACCTAGGAGACGAGGTCCCCATCACCTTCAACATGGACAACAAAGTGGACGACGAGACCATAAAGCTCGTGAACTCATTCGAGTGGCCCCACGGCCCCAAGACCCTCCGGCGCCGCGTCATCCAGGGCGGCCTCATCCGTGCCGTGAGCGAAAGCTGGTACCCTACCTCCGATGACGACTTCGGCCTTTTACTCGAGGACGACATCGAAGTCTCCCCTTACTACTATCTCTGGGTCAAATACGCCCTCCTCGCCTACCACTACGACCCACAGGTAATTCAAAAAGATTCCCGAATTGAAAATTTTTTCAGATATAAATAGTTAGGTTTTACTGAGTGACTTACTACACAACACAGGTGTCCATCCCGGAGCTCTCGTCCATCGCCCTCTACACGCCCCGTTTGGTGGAGGTCGTGAAGGAACGCCCCAAGTGGAACGCCACCGCCTTCTTCAGCCGAATCCACCCAAACACGCCCTACCTCCACCAGCTTCCCTGCAGTTGGGGGGCCGTTTTTTTCCCCAAGCAGTGGCGGGAGTTTTACGCGTACATGAACATGCGATTCACGGAGGACGCCAAGCAGAACCCCGTCCAGATTCCAAAGTCGAGGACCAATGGGTGGCAGGCCTCGTGGAAGAAGTTCCTCATCGACATGATGTACCTCAGGGGGTATGTTAGCCTGTACCCGAACTTCCCGGACCAGGCCAGCTTCTCGACCAATCACATGGAGCCAGGGGCACACATCAGCGCCAAGGACAACGTGGTGAGGCACGACAAGACGGATTTTGAGGTGCCACTGTTGAGGGAGGACTTCTGGAACTTTCTGCCTAAGGGGAAGCTGCCGCCGGCGTCCAAGCTGCCATCGGTCGACCTTTTCAACAAGGCGGTGTCGCTCAAGGGGATCAAGGCGGCCGGGGCGAAGCTGGGGCAGGATGTGCTGGAGTGTGGCCCAGGGGAGATTGTGGTGGTCCATCAGGACACCGGTTTGCCTTGGCATTGTGCTAAATTCTGACCGTGCATGGTTTTTCTTTCAACTGTTCCTTCTT